ACGAGAGGCAAACTGACTTTTATTGGCATGGAACAATACATGTATAGCTCCAAATCATTGTGTTTTCATTTGGATTTTACTCAAGAAAAATGATTCAATTGTAGTCAAGAAAAATAACTGAAAATTCGGCTTTTTGTGACAAGAAAAAAATTATGTGACCTTTGCAGTCAAATCAAGTAGCAGCTATGATTGATTCAATGGGTGTTTGAGATTACTGATATATTTCACCCCCTGTTAGCAATGTGCAAATCAATTAGAGAACTTGTCCCTGATAATAAATTAAACAATTAACAATAAAATTCCCCCAAAGCAACAATGCCCTAATTCCTTCAATCTTAAGAAAACCAGTTAAACGTGCGCAGCTACTACCGTAAGTTTGATGATTTTTTCCTGACTGAAAATAAGTATTTCTGAAATCTTCTAAAAAAGTTTATATTAACAGTAAAAAATGCATTGGAGTCAACGTAATCCAGATTACCTTGCAAAATCTTCTTCCATACTCCTAGTGACTTTTGTATCTAGAGCGCCAACAGCCGCTTCCGGGGAGTCATAATGACTTGGGTAGTGTTCACCATTGTTTAAGATGTGCTGATTAACATCACATTGGGGAGTCTTCATCGGCTCTTTATATCGCAAGAAGAAACAAAGTAATTGGCATTTTAGAATAATAATCAATTGCTCATCTCACATAGCATTGCAAATTGGTATGCAAATTATATGCAAATAAATATGCTATAATTTTTGTCTGTGGAGAACCCCAAGTTACCATTTCATATATCATTTTAATATATATGTATGTATGCATGCTAAGAGCCACTAACTTGAAATTTTATTTTCAGTAATTTTTGAAAAATGCAAATTTTCCCAATAGAGAATGCAGTCAAAGGTTTTGTGATGAAAATTCAGTAGATAAAGTTGACTCAATATTAAAGTACAAAAAAGAAGCTATACCCGGTATTATAAAATTCACTAATTTGAATTTTAGATTTTAAAAGCAAGTGACAAATTTTCAAGAATTTGCAAAAACTATGGAAATTATTAAAGTCGCTGTGAGTAGCACAGACTTTCATAGAACTTTGTCTTAGCATACAATGTACGTGTGTAAAATCAATACAATTATCCAACTGACAAGGGTAAGGGTAAACATTTATATTTACCATAAACTTCATCAGTTACTACGGCAACAAACTCTTCTAATTCATTGACATTCATTGCAGCATCTTGTGATGCATAATAGTAGGGAGTATCTTCGTCACGTCCTTGTATATGAACGTGTACACTATCAGCAAACAACCCCACTCCAATGTCTCGATGCATGGCCTGCAAAAGTAAACAAACGAAAATAGAGTTGATTTATTTACTTCTTAATGCAGGTATAGCAGGATAACAAAAAATTCAGCACATAATGTACATACATGTTGTTGTAAAACATAAAATATTTGTAAAGCAATCATCATATATATCATATTAGATCACTCATTGTTTCTTGGCTCCTCTTTGTACATAAATATAATTGTTTACCAAAACACACTTTATAATACACCATGTATATATCATACTACACAAATGGAGTGTCAACTTTTACTTAATCTTTTGTGAAAAACGTTTATAGTTATGAGCTCTGCATGTACTTGCAGTATTTTCTCTATTACAGAATTGTATCTCTAATAGAATTGCACATATAAAAACAAAAAATTAAATGTCTTGTATGTTGGATTATTATTAACATACATGTATGACTTATTTTGACCATAGACTCAATCTTGTTTTTTACGTGAAATGTAAGCATATACAGTGTATACTACTAATAGAGCGAATACAGTACAAGCTAACCAAAATTCTTCCCTCGAGCATCAAAAGCATTGCAGTTTTACCATGTTTGGCTTTGAAACTTGATAGGTTAATTATTTCTATTGTGCTGAACTGGTTTTCTAATTAGATCAATATGCAAATTACGTGAAATTAATAATCAAATCTCTGTTGAATAGTTGTTCCAACTTAACATAACAATGGATCCTTACATATCTAAAGAATTTGACAAGTTTGAAAAATTCCACAGTCATTACATAACATCATGTGTGATATGGGCCCAATATTCCACAATTAATGATTGTAAATCTCTTCGGAAAAAGCAAATATTTTATTTTATGCCTTGATCCTTGAAAATAGAGAAAAATACACAAAGATCAGACTGAAATTATGGACTCACATGGAATAAGTTTATACAGTTCTTCACGACGCTCTGCAACAAATCTTCTACTGTTTTGGAAGCAGGCTGCTTGAATTCAATAACAGCAGCTGAGCCTGATCGTAGATACTGTATGTGTTTGTCGCTTGATATTGATGCCTCAGTCTTCGTCCTAAAACCACTTTTAATTATCACCTGAAATAAAAAAAAAAACAAGATATTAATTTTAAACTGCCTGAGGTAACATGTAAAGTATATATTGCATGGATTTTAGAGATGTTAATTGTCATACCATACTATTAAATGATTAAAAAAAAAAAATTGAAAAACTTACGCATTACTTTCTCACTTTTTATGCAACATATCAATCAATATGTGCTACCATATTTGCTCTATTTGAAGCACATATAAACCAATAATTGCATTTGTCGTACACTGAATCATTAAAATATTATTTATCTTGATCTGTAATTTATTTAAGTGCATGGGCTACTAGTAGATCAAGTACAGTAAGTATCATTTAAGGACATGTGTTACCAACTTATTTGTTTCAGCTTACAATTTCTACAATTGACTAGTATTTTTTTTAATTATGAACAATAGTTCATTTTGACCAATTTTCAATTAAAAAACGTTTGGGCTTACTTTCAAATGAAGTGATATACACGAGGGATGCACCTTCTTGATTGGATGTCAGAGTATTTTCAGTATATGAATCTTTGTCAAAATCAAATCAAATCATTTACACAGTCGTGGGAGAGCACCATACTCTTGATCAAGTTATTGATGGCAATAAAACCCTTCCACAATTTATGCCCAAGACAAATTTTAATGCTATAAAACTGAAGCCTAAGTTATAAAACTTTTACAGTACAAATGTATGTGTAGGTATGCAAGTTTTACTTGAACAATCAACATTGTTAGCGTTACTAGGCAACACTAATATTGTTATTATCTTATAATCTGTTGGAGACCAGACTTTACCCAGCCATGTTTCTGGGATACCACACATGGATGTTGTATAATAAGATTTGCTAAACTATCAATTGTTGGTCTGAGGTTATTTTTTCAGAGTACAGTGTTGACAACTGGCTTTAACTACATATAAAGGCACAATTTTTAATTGATGTCATTAAATGAGACCACAGAGACAAACAGACAGTCTCACACTGAATTGGCTTAAAAAAAATTATATATACTGTAAAAGGATTAATTATTCACTGGGTTTTAATTTTGCTTATTTCGCAGACTGGAAAATGCGCTAACCCAGTGAATATGTAAAATTTAGCATAGAACACATTATATAAATGATAAAACCGTGAATTTAAAACCCACTGAATATGCCTTAAATGGTAAATCAGTGAAATTTAAACCCAGTGAAAATTAGTCATTTTACAGTATTATATATAGAATTCTGTTCCACTAATTAATATCTTTGATGAAGAGTAATATTACTTAAACTATATATTAAAATTCTCCATAATTATAGAGGAATTGTTTAAGATAGACGCCTAATCATAACGTTACAGAAAGTCAGTCATAAATCGCATGACAATGTTCCTGATTGGTTTATTATGTACAATCATGAAGCTATTGTCCCATGGAACCATGAAATGGCATTCTTTTTTGTGTTACAGTGACTTATTTTGAGAAACATGTTCTAATATTTTTCAAAAATTGTTATTTTTAGAACAATTTCATAGAACACAATAATAAAACAGGGAAAAATTGCATTTTTTTACACTTTTTAAAACCCAGATTTTTCAAATATTTCAGTACAATAAAAAGTACATCATTATTACCAATATATGCTAATTGCATAAGTATATATTATTTTTAAGATATGGCGTAATATCTCTGCCATAGGAACCTATGGTAAAATCGTTATAATACTGCAAAAATGGCAACTATGCACTAAAGGACAACTCATTTTCTCGAAAATTAAACTAGTGACCCCCATAATTTTTTGTCAATTTTTAAACCAGTATATTGCTCTGGGGTACAATATATTGCATAATGAATAAATTGTGTGTATTTTTATGTATAAGAACAATTAAAATGAACCACACCCGTTACTGTTCAACGAACAAAGGACCAGACAAATCAGATGATTTATGTAAATTTGGCACAATGCCACAGCGTGGGAGCACAGACCTGGGATCTGTACACTTTTGGAATAAACTTTTTCCATTTACCTTTGCAATAACAGTATTAATGAATTAATTGCACTATGATTATAGCATATTTTAACCGATAAGTGTTTTATGTGGTTTATTCCTAGTGATTATGAAAATTTTTAATTTTTGTCAAGGAGTTACAAGACATGTGCAACAATGGTCAACAAATTTATCTAACTATACTGGGTATAAATGTACACACTTAAGGGTCAGACCATTTTTTCTTGCTCGGGGTGGAAGGTGAGAACTTTTGGGTAGATTATTTTTTCTTCCACTTTCAGAAGCAGCAATTAATTCTAAAAAAAAGGCATTTATTGATGTGAAAATTAGTCTTATTATTATTAATTAGAATGAATGATGATAATAAAATCCAATTTCTGGAGTGGCCAATTTTAATTCTAACATCCACTTCGATTTATAAAAATCTATATTTATAAAATGTTCATAATGACCACAGCTTTTTGCCCTTCACTGTATCATATTGACAGAGAATCACAAGGGTTAGGTCGGCTTATAATTATTTTAACAGCACAAGAAAAAATTACCTACCTTTTCTCCTTGCTTGTACATGGCAGTACGTACTTTCTGGAGGCACTGCATCAACACTGGATGTGCTCGGTAATACTGAGATGCAGTGGATTTATAATCACGAACATGGTAGTTCAAAGACAATCTGAAGTTCTCTTCACCTGTAGAGTCGTAAAGCTCGCTCCCAGTGTTGAAAGGATCTGCATGCTCTTCTGCTAAGTCTCCCTCCAATGTGATCGGTTCAAAAACTTTACCGCTGGGAAACCGTACACCCGTGGAAGAGTCTGAAAAAAAAATATTACAATTAGTAAAAACAACTGAAAATGTCAGTTACATCACTCACAGAGATTGATGATTCGATTGCTGGCAGGGATAGCTGTATTTAGTGTTCATTTGGATGTAATATTTCTACACTTGCGATTCTCAAGTTCTATATGTATAAATCATATCGCTGTTGTGGGCGACGGCTGACAGATTGTTGTGGTTCTGTGGCTCTGATGTTTTCTTTGTCGCATTTTGTATATACGAGTCTGACATTGACAGTACAGTAAGTAAGTAAACGGGCCGGGACATAGTCAAGACTCTGAATCGAAAGCAGGCCCCGAAGATAGAAGATAGAATAATAAACCTATTTAACCATTGTTGATTTATTGTACAAAAGTCCAAGAACAACAAAACAAATGACTGAAAAGAATCAACAAAACAAAACAACTGTTGAGTACACTACACAGTGTAGTCAAATCAGTAAGAAAAACATACTATTGACTTCATAGTAAAAGTAAATACAAAATAAATGTCAGCGAATACAATATTTAAAAAAAAAATTCCTGCAGACCCCATGGACAAGTTGACAACCCCTAATATCACAAAACCGCCAGTTACGAACTTTATATTTCATTTATTAGGATTTCCACATGAAGCAACACAGATCGGAAAAATGTATCATTATGACAAGGAAAAATAAAGGTTATATAATGAATTCTCTTATTAATATTTTATGGGTATTTTTGTGAGCATACATGCATGTTTTAATAAAATATGTACACCTGTTAAAATTATCAAACCTTCAAAAGCAATCATAGTACACATGCAAAGTAAACAAAATTATCGAGATGATTCAGGATTTGTTAAAAAAAAATAGCCGAAATGCTGAGACACTATCTATGAAGGGATGACTCAGTGAAAATAAAATCCAGCGAATATACTGTAGAATAATTTATTTTCGCTATTTTCGCTGAAGGGATGATTCCGTGAAAATAAAATCTAGCGAATATACTTTTTTTCCTATATTTCACAATAAACTCATCAAAAATCAGTGAAAATAAATTCCATACAAAACGCCCAAATAGCCTTTTCAGCGAAAATTAATTCCAGTGAAAATAAAGTATTCCACAGTACCTTTTTTTCCTGTATTTTACATTTAACTCGTCAAAGATCAGTGAAAATAAATTCCAAACAAAACACCCAAAATGTCTTTTCAGCGAAAATTAATTCCAGCTAAAATAAATTATTTTACAGTACTTTATTTTCACTGAAGGGAGGAATCAGTGAAAATAAAATCCTGGGAATATACCTGTTTTCCTATATTTCACATGCAACTTGTCAATAATCAGTGAAAATAAAATTCAGCGAATATACCTTTTTTCCTATATTTCACATTCAACTCATCAAAAATCAGTGAAAATAAATTCCATACAAAACATCTAAAAAGTCTTTTCAGCAAAAATTAATTCCATCTAAAATAAAGTATTTTACAGTAAATGGTGGTGGGAATCGCCAAGTCAGTCTATATATTGTGAACACATATTTTCGTAAATATTACTGACCATGAAAGGCGCCCACCGCGAAGAGTCTTGTATATGAAAAAAACAAAAACAATATATGCTGAAAAAAAAAAATTGAGTAATACGACTTTTTATATCGTTGATGAATAAGGCAATGACAACACAAAGGAGAAAAAAACTCAGTAAAGCACTCTCGCGATAGCGCCCCCCCCCCCCCTCCACTCAAAGGAGGAAGTTTGTCAACAATAAATATGAACGTTCATTTCCCGGTGCATTGACTGCCATAAATATAACAATACTTAAAGCTAGTGTTCATTATGACAAGCAAATTCTGTTCTGTTGCAGATCACTCACCCACACTCATAAAGATCATTTAGTCATAAACCTTGCAAACACAAACATTGAAACAGGAAATTGTTTCCTCAACTTCAAGTCCGTTCGTCATCGATGACCATGACACTATTTACCTGAATACACGTAGCTCAGCAGACACACGATTACCAGAATTGACAGCCGTGTCATGTCGGTGGTGAATACGAGCCCTCGACGTCGATTTTAGTGCTAACAGTCGTCAGATTCTGGCTCAAAATCACCAAACACAACTTATATGTCTTCCTGGAAGTTCGCAACAAAAACTTGAATAAGTAATAGGATTTAATTGATCACGTGATAAGATGTGCTAACTGTGGCGGCGCTGTCGAAAATCGGCGTATACAAAAAGCAGGGAGAGTAAATACTGTGAAATACTTTATTTTCGCTTGGAATTAATTTTCGCTGAAGGAATGATTAGCGAATATACCTTTTTTTCTTATATTTTACATCCAAATCGTCAAAAATCAGTGAAAATAAATTCCATACAAAACACCCAAAATGTCTTTTCAGCAAAAAATAATTCCAGCTCAAATAAAGTATTTTACAGTACAGTTTAAATTCTTTATTACAAAATCACATCGGTTAACTCCAAATCCTGTTTTATATTTTTATTTATATTTTCATGCAAGTCGCATATTGTTATTAAATATTGAATCATTTTCCAGGCTATATTGTGTTTTGTATTTTTACTATACGGTAATTGTCATTGGATGGTGTTATGCAATACAGTCCAATTACATTGAATTGAATGGCTTATGCTTCCTTGTTTAAAAAAAATATTCGACTGATAGTACATTCCTATATTTTTTGGTAACTAATTATTTTTAATTCGCCAAAAATGCAAATGTAAAGATCGTTACAAAGTACCCGTGTTCTTATACCGGTATTCAATAGGAACTGTTCGAGTTATTATTTTTATAGAGAGAGCACTGGCCACAACAAAAAAGAGTTGTCGTGGTCATGCTGATTTCAAGTTCACGTTCAGAGAAGAGAATATGAACGAAGTGACGTCAATCAACCTATTAATGTGGGTGGAGATGTGGCTCCGGTTGTCATACAAACTACTATTTTGGAAATCATTCTTGGATACTCAGTATATTTCGTGTGGGGATATGCGAGTATGAAGAGAATTATGCCGGGCATGTCATGAAAAAGGAAAAAATCGTTTTGTACTACGAGCCCCCCTCGGAACGCCGCTCAAACCAATTACAAATTCCCCACGTAATACACGACTTTGCGAAGAAGCTCAGAGCATGAGGAGAAGGTCAAAACGGAATGAAAACTAATCATTTTTTTTAACATAATCGCTAATTAACATAATTAAATTAAAATAATTTTCAAGTGCAATTATTTGTTCACCGGTGACTAAACTACACAAATTGCACGGCTATTCGTCCAGTT